GGCTGGCTGCTGATTGGCTAATGCGATCACATGTCATGAATGAATGCATTATGGGTCAGCGCGCCTTGTCTGCGCGCCTTCCCAGAGATCCCCGCTCCGTCGCCACACATGTCGCCGCCATTTTTGGGAAAATTCGATTCGTGCATCCGAAGTTTGCTAATTTTCGGATTCGGCGCGAATCGAATTTTTCCTGATCTTCGAAACGAATTCCACTTCGCCATGTTCGATTCGCTCATCTCTAGCTATAACTGTCACACAAACCAATTAATATGCACTGGGATTTCTTGGCCTAAATTTATGAAGAAATTTGATTTTATTGGATATGTTTTATAACAGAATGTAAAAAATATTCTTTTTTTGGTCTTTTTTCATTTACATAGCAAAGAAAAAATAACCCAGTGGTGATCAAATACCACCAAAATAAAGCTCTCTATTTGTGTGAAGAAAGGACATACATTTTGTTGAGTACAGCATTGCATGACCAGGCAATCACCAGTTAAATTAGCGCAGCACCATAACGAAAAGATGGCTTGGTCAGGAAGAGGGGTGGGGGGGTAAATCCTCTGGAGGGCAAGTGGTTAATACAGTACGACCAAACTATATAATCAAAATAACTAAATCATGAGAGAACAAATAGTTCATAAGTGATAGAGTCCAATCCCAAATAAACAATCCCTTGCTCTTTTTATATTAAATTACTCTGTTTGGTGCAAAGAATCCACCCAGTGACACAATAATTTGCTCGCCCTAAAGTGGTAGTAAACTAATTATTTATACTTTTACCTATGGGTAAGTGTATAATAAAGCTTACCTGTAGGTAAAATGAATATCTAATAAACGTGCACCATTTAGGAGATATTCTAGTGAGCGGCAGCTGGTAACTTCACCAGTGCATGTGCTCTGAAGGAACGGCATACCTGTCCTGTTTCTTCAGAGCTGTGTGCCACGGCCTTAACTCCCACGTGCATCCGCAGGAGTGATGTCATCGCGGCCTCGGCCGTTCAAGTGGCCACAGCCAGGGAACCCAGAAGAAAGACCAGTTGAAGATGGAAGGCTCTGAAACGGTAACAGCGTGCCACCTGAGGGCTTTGTTCTCAGGTAAGTCTTTCATAATGTGCTAGTATGTGATGCACATTAGCACATTATGACATTACCTTGCAGGGGGAAAGCTTCTTTTTTTTTAATGTTTACTACCACTTTAATACAATGGCCTCTAAGCTTGATACAAGGTCAGTATAGCTTGTTACCCATGAAAGGGTTAATGTGGTGAACTGGTCTTCTCCTTTAATATTGACATGTAGGATTCTAGCCAATCATCCACCATAACAAACATTAGAATTTAAAAGAGAAAATTGGCATAGTGCTAACTGTATGCATTTTATTAAATGAAAGACAAGTGAATTAAAACTACTCAAAAACAAAACAGGAGAAAGTGCATATCAAGTAACAATCCATCAAGCGATGTAACATATACAGTGTCATCCAAACAAAATCCAGCCAGTATGTGTGCAATCCTAGATGCTAGTGAACAGACTCATAGCACAATGATTTCATTGGGATAAGGCTCTTGAAAACAATCCCAGTGTCTCATGAGGTCCCTTGTGGAAATGAATTGCCCACCCCTGATTTAACACCACCATCTCCCCAGACTGAACATGCTGCTGTACAGAAGTCTCTCTGTTGCTCTTCCATCCAGAGTGGAGACACTTTAAGACAGGAATTGTGTCACTGGCCACATCATCAGGTGAAAAAAAAAAAAAAAGCCTAAAAAATACAATTGCAGTCACATTTAAGGATTAGTAAGCTACAATAAATTACATTTTTGCGTTTGGGTTTAATACTGCTTTAGGACCAGTTCTAAGTTGGCATATGTACTGGTCAGTGTGGGCCCCTTCACTGTGCCCTGCCTCTCACTCTTCTGTCCGTTGTGTGCTTGATGTCTGTAATGGCCATACTTGGTCAATAACTTCTGTCAGCCCCGTTCTTAGCATCCACCTATCAGTCAGAGATACTCCTGGGAGGAAGCTGAATGGGGACAGGAAGGTATAACCAGTGAAGGTTGTGGTGCAGGTGGGGTAAAACATGCACCCAATACAGGAGTGTACAGCATGTACACTGCGGTCTATATGTCACTCTCCCCTATGGCGATAGATTCATTTATTTCTTTTTATTTTTTATTTTATGTACTTATATAGATTCATGTACGTTTCCAGCTAGTTGAAACATTTCTCACACAGACAGACACCAAAATTCATACGAGTGTCTATGACACACTTTTTAAATTGAAGGGTTTTTCTGTCAAAGGGCTCATGTACACTGCAACTGACGTTCAGGAGCACACTATTTTTTCTAGCACATTAACAGTTATTTGTTAGCACTTGCATCATGTTTTGAGGGATATAACATTGTGAAATGTGCATATTATGCAGAGATGTTGGTGGTCTGAAGCTCTGCATATGGAGTAGACAGCATTTTGCATAAAATAGCGTATTATGGCATTAATTTTCACTAAAGTGATTATGTGACACAAGGAGTGAAGTTTGTACTGTAGAATAGGGTGTAATCACCTTTTAGGAATACCTAGGACAGCATGATACCTAAACACGGCCCTGTTAGCAACATGTTGGAAAATCTCTTTTTACTGTTTAATTAGTTCACTACCAGAGATATTTATGAGTTTTTTTTTCAGGACACGTGTTTAAATGCGCTTTCTCTTTAATCCGAAAGTTAAAACCCCCCAATTATTATATATTATCTAAAAGCAGAGACCCTAGAGAATAAAATGCTGGTAGTTACAATGTTTATGTAACATATCAGCACACATGTTTATCAAACTCATTACCCTATTTTCAGTAAAAAAAAAACAACACAGAAATGTATTTTATTGCACAGAAACACAATATACTACCTCTTTTTTTTTGTAAAATATAAAATATGAGGTTGTGTCAAGCAAATAGATAACAAATATGTCAAACCTTAACATTGCATGCAAAGCAGTGTGCTTACAGTGAAGCACAGCACACAGTTAACCCTTTGATCGCCCTACATGTTAACTCCTTCCTGCCCAGTGCCATACACCAAGTCAGTTCCCCCCCCAGTGTCAGAATGTCCGCCACAGTTCCGCTATAAGTCTCTGATCACCGCCATTACTAAAATAACATTTTTTTAAAAAGCTCAATTTATATACTGCCATTTGTAAATGCTATAACTTACGTAAACCAATTCATTTACACATATTGGATTTTTTTAGCAAAGACATGTAGCAGAATACATTTTGGTCTAAATTTATGATGCAATTTGATTTTTTTATTATTTTACTGGACATGTTTAAGAGCAAAAAGGCAAAAATATTGTTTTTTTCTCAAAATTGTCGGGCTTTTTTTATAGCACAAAAATAAAAAAACACATCAAATACCACCAAAAGAAAGCTCTATTTGTGGGGGAAAAAGGAAATAAATTTAATTTGGGTGCAGCGTTGCATGACCGCGCACTTGTCAGTTAAAGTAACGTAGCGCAATATCCCAAAAAATGGCCTGGTCAGGAAGGGGGGTAAATCCTCTGCAGGGCAAGTGGTTAATATGTGTAACTCAGTTGCCATATTCATACATAGGAGCACTAGATGCACTTATGGAAATATATGTGTATGTATGTGGAAGAAGGTGGGTAGATTTAAAAATGTTTTGTGTTTTATTATTATTTTTTTTTTACAGATCACCTTATTGCTACTACATACGAGGCTAATAGCATTATAGAAATTATAGGTCCTCAGCTCCAGCGGTGTACCACTACGTCTCTGGAGTCTGAGCCATTATACTGGGATGATGCCTGCAGCTGCAGGCATCATCCCGGTACTGTTTTTTATAGACAACGGTCAGCTCTCTGTAATAGCAATTGCTATTACAAGCAGGAGACATCCTCCCTTCCTGCCACCTTCCACGGCTTTAACAGGATCTCTCGTCCCACCAGGAGCCCCGATCGACCAGCCAGCGCTTCTGCTGGCTGATCATAGAGCCTAACAAGATATGATTTGCTGGGCTCTCTGATATAGTAAGAAACACTGGGGGTCCAAGAGAGCCCCTCAGAAGCAGAAGTTTAAAGGAGAACCAACAGCGTTATGAATAAAACCAACAGCTTTATTGAGTTTCACAAAAGGTAGTAGACCTATTAGGCCAAATAGATTCTCTATTCACATCAAAATAAAATAGGATAACAATAGGCAAACAGCGATCATCCCACACATGTGAGGTAAAGTCATGGATGTCAGCTCACAGGCAGTAATTTTACCACCACCAGACCTCCTCTGGAAATCTAAAGTGGTAGCCTGTAAAGGCTTTTAAAGCATCGCCTACAGATAGTAAAGTTTACATTGTTTGCCAGCAGTGCATGAGCGTGCACAATTTTAAAGCGTGACATGTTTGGTATCTATTCACTTGGCGTAACATCATCTTTTATATTTTACAAAAAAATTGGATTATGTATTGTTTTTGTTTTGTTTTCTTTTTACATTAATCACTTCCCATCCACTGATTGTACATAGACGGTGGACAAGAAGCAGCGCTGATGTGGGCTAAGGTTCCTGTATGTCAGCCCGCATCGATGGCTTGTGCCCACAGTGCATGCACCTTGGAGCCCGGAGATCGTTGTGTCGCCCGGACACATCGGATCACATTACCACTTTGAGTGATCACATGGTGTTTTACCATGTAACTGCTGTGACCAATCACAACACTCACACAGTAAACACTGCAAACTGAAAGTAAAGATCGCTTCTCTCTACTCTCAATGTGAGAGCAGAGAGAAGCGATCCTGCAGTGTGTGAGTGTACACAGCAGCCTGTCAGGCTACTTTTACACTCACACACTGCAGTTCCAGTCACTTCAGTGCCCCAGTTTAGTTCCCCAGTGTCCCTGATCACTGCCAAACAATAACAATAATAAATAATGTAGGAAGGCCCTGTCACCTGTCCCAGTGAGCACAAAACACCCCCATACACCATACCAATGTCCTGAATACCAACATACCAGTGTCCTGATGATTGCCATATGCAATACCAGCACCCTGATCACCTCCATACACCATACCAGCACCCTGATCACTGCCATACCCTATACCAGCACCCTGATCACGTCATACCCCATACCAGCACCCTGCTCACTGTCATACCCCATACCAGCATCCTGATCACCGCCATACACCATAGCAGCACCCTGCTCACCGCCATACCCCATACCAGCATCCTGATCACTGCCATACCAGCACCCTGCTCACCGCCATACCCCATACCAGCATCCTGATCACCACCATACCCCATACCAGCACTCTGCTCCCCGCCATACCCCATACCAGCATCCTGATCACTGCCATACACCATACCAGTGCCCTGATCACCGCCATACCCCATACCAGCATTTTGATCACTGTCATACCCCATACCAGCACCCTGCTCACCGCCATACCCCATACCAGCACTCTGCTCACCGCCATACCCCATACCAGCATCCTGATCACTGACATACACCATACCAGTGCCCTGATCACCGCCATACCCCATACCAGCATTCTGATCACTGTCATACCCTATACCAACATTTTGATCACCGCCATACCCTATACCAGCATCCTGATAACAGCCATACCCCATACCAGCATCCTGATCACCCCCATACCCCATCCTGGCTACTGCCATACCAGCTACCTTTATGAGTGTTGCCAACATTGCCAGATCACAAGTAATGCTCAGACCAGTTAAGCAGCATATTTACAATATATGTTGATACAAATCTGCCTTTACTTTAGCCAGCCAGCTTAATGGATTTCACAGCGAAGGCCATCAAAGCAGGGGCGGTGCTAAATAGGAGCTTGGGGGTGCTGCAGCACCCCCCAAAACTCTTTGAACACCCCCATAGCACCTCATTTTATAGCATGCCATTATCTGTATGTGTTACAATGTTTCTTTTCTTTTTTTTATAATTCATTGTCTGCATGTGCTGTTGCTGACAGAAAGCTAGGGACTCTTTTTTTGCTATGAAGGGATACAGCAGTTCTTCCTGCAAAAGTAAATGATATTTAATGAGTCCCGCTAGGCTGGTATCAGAGGCGGATTGATACACAGCCTCTCTGCTGCCTCCTCAGCCAATAGGAAAACAGTAACAGAGGAGATGTCTGCTTCTGGATGGGAGGGGCAGAGAGTGGAGACACTGACAACACAGCCCAGCCTGCTATGGAGAATAGAATACAGTAGAGGAGGCAGATTCTTTAGTCCCTACTGTGACATACAGCTACTTATATTTGCCTACACTTGGTCTAAACAGAAACAAACAGCTTCTGCCAGCAGGGAGGGAACAGGCTGGTTTCTACAGTGTGGGAAGGTTAGCAGAGCAGCCCCAGAGAAGATCATTTATCCCATCCATTCAGGATATATTCTGACATCCAGCAAGGCTTGTGAAGATTCTCCAGGGGACAGACAGAACACACACATCCTACATTCCTTTCTTCTTGTACAAGTCATGGTTCTTACAGAGACTCTGAAAGGGAGAAAAGAATGCAGGATGTCTGTGTGTTCCGTCCATCTATCCTTCTATCCATCTATCCATCGGCTTGCTTTATCTTTAACATAAACATTGCTGGTGTCACAATACAAGAAGAATAGTGGCAGGCATTCTACTAACCCTCTGTTTCCCACACTCTAGAAACAAGCCAGGGCTCTTGTATGTAGCGCACTCCTGATCTCTGCACTGTGTATAGAGCGCTTACCTGAATCTCGCATTTTATGCATAACACACTCTTGAACCTTGCGTTTTCTGCATAGTGCAGTCCTGATCTCTGCACTGCGTATATAGCGCACCCCTGAACCCTGCATTGTGTGCATAGTGCACTCCTGAACACTGCAGTGTGTGTGTAGTGCATCTTGATCTCTGCACTGCATATATAGCGCACCCCTGAACCCTGCATTGTGTGCGTAGTGCACTCCTGAACACTGCAGTGTGTGTGTAGTGCACTCTTGATCTCTGCACTGCATATATAGTGCATGCCTGAACCCCGCATTGTGTGTAGCACATTTCTGAACCTTGCATTGTGAGCGTAGTGCACTCTGGAACCATGCATTATGTGCATAGCGCACTCCTGATCTCTGCACTGCGTATGTAGCAACGCCTGAATCCCGCATTGTGTGCTTAGCGCACTCCTGAATCTTGCATTGCAATCGTAGCGCACTCCTGATCTCTGCGCTGCGTATGTAGCACACGCCTAAACCCCGCATTGTGTGCGTAGTGCAATGCTGAACACTGCATTGTGTGCGTAGCACACGCCTGAACCTTGCATTGTGTGCTTAGCGCACTCCTGAATCTTGCATTGCAATCGTAGCGCACTCCTGATCTCTGCACTGCGTATGTAGCACACGCCTAAACCCCGCATTGTGTGCGTAGTGCAATGCTGAACACTGCATTGTGTGCGTAGCACACGCCTGAACCTTGCATTGTGTGCATAATGCACTCCTGATCTCTGCACTGCGTATGTAGCGCATGCCTGAACCCCAAATTGTGTGCGTAGTACACTGATGAACACTCCTGAACACTGCATTGTGTCCATAGCACACTCCTAAACCTTGCATTATGTGCATAGCACATTTCTGAACCTTGCATTGTGTGCATAACGCACTCCTGAACATTGCACTGTGTGCATAGTGCACTCCTGAACCCTACACTCTGTATACAATACAAACCTGAACCCCGCATTCCGTATGTAGCACACTTCTGAGCGTTGCACTCTGTATGTAACGTACTTATAAAACATGCACCATGCATATAACATGCTCCTTAAACCTGCACAAAGCACGCAACACACTCCTGAACCCTTCACTCTGTGCATAGTGTACTCCTGAACTCTGCACCCTGTGTGTAACACTCTCCTGGTATTTCACAATGCCCCTTTAGGACTCTGCAACTGTTAGTACAGTTTGGCCAGAACCAACATTTGATGCAACATGCTCTCCCCCTCCGGGGGGGATGGAGAGGGGGTCATTTGTATTGTGCTGGGAGCATGGTTGATATTCTGTACCTATTCTTTGAGACACTCCAAAGACATTCGGGTAGGCTAATTGGTTCCTGTCTAAACTGGCTCTAGTGTATGTATGAATGTGAGTTAGGGACCTTAGATTGTATGCCCCTTGAGGGTTAGGGAATGATGTGAATGTACAATATATTTGTAAAGTGCTGCGAAAACTGATGGCGCTATATAAGTACCTGAAATAAATAAGAAAGTCCTGACCACCAGTATACAGAGCGACTGACCACCAGTATACAGGGGCACAGTGACCCCCAATATGCAGGCTCCCTGGCTCCAGTATACAGGGGACATCCCAAATCAAATACTATGATGCAGCCAAAAAAAATCTCAAAGGCAATAACCACAGAATATTAGTAGCTGATTGCTGCTAGCACTGACATGTTCATAATATGTGTGGTATGTGTTAATTCATATCCAACGTAAATCAATAAAAAGCAAAATATGCAGCCCTACACTTCCTCTAAAGAATTATACAAATGGGCTTATAAGTGCAATGGTAAAACCAATGTATAAATATCCAGTGCAAATCAAGCAATGTATTGCAATAGTGATGGTGTTACTCTCTCTGCAAAAAATATATTGAGAGATTGCAGAGCAGCAATGTGCAAACAATGGTGAAACCCCCTATGTACAATGATAATAGAAAAGGTGCAAATACACCAGGGTGTTAGAACATAGTAGTGATGGTGTCACCCTCTCTGCAAAAGTTAAGAAATATTGCAGATGTGCAAATAGTGCTGAAACCCCCTATCATGATAAATGTAAAATATGTACATACATTTTATATGTATTATGAATATATATATAAATATATATATATATATATATATATATATATATATATATATATATATATATATTTCACCACTATTTGCACAGCTCTGCAATATTAACATTTGCAGAGAGGGTGACGCCATCACTACTATGTTCTAAAGCACTAGTTCATTTGCACCGTTGTTATTTTTATTATTGTACATTGTTTGCACATTGCAGCTCTGCAATTTCTCAACATATTTTTGCAGGGAGCATGACACTGTGATGGATTTGGTAAAATGCCTATTTGGTTTTCTGTTGAACATATACATTTTTCTATACATTTTATACATATCTACTTTTATACTTTTTCATATTTCTAAATATATGTGTTGTGCGTATATCTTTTGTCTGCTGGGCTTTGTAGTTCTCCTTAACTCAGAAAATGTTTGTTCAGCGATGTTCTCAACCCCTCCTGTCGAGCTGTGAGGATCTTGTACCTAGGCCTTGGACATGTGAGGGAGTAAGAGATAATGAGCGAGAAGCAAGCCTCAAGTTCCTGCACTCTTTCTATATTTCAGCCAATCAAGATGTGCCTTTTAGACTATGCCCACATTTACATAATAGTGACCTATACCCTATTGTTCTCTGTGTATAAAAGGTTAAGCACCGCCCTGCAATAAACAGAAATGAGGAAGTACCGTATTTTCCGGCGTATAAGACGACTTTTCAACCCATTAAAATCTTCTGAAAAGTCGGGGGTCGTCTTATACGCCGGCATACGGCGAGCCGGTGTCACTTTTTCGAGGGGCGCCCCCCCCCTCCTCCTCCAACGGACACTAAGTACAGGGGTGGGCAGAGGGGCTGCTGTACCTTACCTGGCTCCGGTCCCGGTCCCACGACGATCCGGTCCAGGAAGCGCGGCTGCTCGATGGTCACGTGGCCGCTCGGCTCCGCCTCCTCACCAGTGATTGGGCGCCAGCACTGGAAAGGAACACAGGCGACCAATCACCGGCGAGGAGGCGGAGCCAAGCATTCCCGCGAAAATTGAGCGGCCGAACTGAAAGGAGCAGCCGCTCCTCTCCCTCACTGACACTAACGATGGGGCACTATTCCTCCTCCACACTGACACCAACGATGGGGCACTATTCCTCCTCCACACTGACACCAACGATGGGGCACTATTCCTCCTCCCCACTGACACCAATGATGGGGCACTATTCCTCCTCCCCACTGATACCAATGATGGGGCACTATTCTCCCCACTGATACCAATGATGGGGCACTATTCCTCCCCCACTGACACCAAGGATGGGGCACTATTCCTCCTCCCCACTGACACCAATGATGGGGCACTATTCTCCCCACTGATACCAATGATGGGGCACTATTCCTCCCCCACTGACACCAATGATGGGGCACTATTCTCCCCACTGATACCAATGATGGGGCACTATTCCTCCCCCACTGACACCAACGATGGGGCACTATTCCTCCTCCCCACTGACACCAATGATGGGGCACTATTCTCCCCACTGATACCAATGATGGGGCACTATTCCTCCCCCACTGACACCAACAATGGGGCACTATTCCTCCTCCCCACTGACACCAACGATGGGGCACTATTCCTCCTCCCCACTGATACCAATGATGGGGCACTATTCCTCCCACTGATACCAATGATGGGGCGCTATTCCTCCCACTGACACCAATGATGGGGCGCAATTCCTGCCACTGACACCAATGATGGGGCGCAATTCCTGCCACTGATACCAATGATGGGGCGCTATTCCTCCCACTGACATCAATGATGGGACACTATTCCTCCGACTGACACCAATGATGGGGCACAATTCTTCCCACTGACACCAATGATGGGGCACTATTCCTCCCACTGACTAATGATGGGGCACTATTCCTCCCACTGACACTAATGATGGGACACTATTCCTCACACAATGACACTAATGATGGGGCACCATCATTGGTGTCAGTGGGAGGAATAGTGTCCCATCATT